GGGGCAATTTCTCACTTTCTGTCTCTCTGTCTCTCTCTGTCTCTCTGGTGAGCGCATGCGCCCTATAGCAAAAACCTCTCCAAAAAAAAATTTGTAGCCATAGCAATTACATTGTATTAAAATTTTTTTTAAAGAGATTTTTACTATACGGTGTGTGTGCTTGTTGGAGAGACAGAGACAGAGACAGAGACAAAGGCAGAAAGCGAGAAATCATCCCCCGGGGGGATGGCCACGCTGCAATCCCTTCTCCTCCGTTCTCCTCTCGGGATCTTGGGCACGCACGCACGCACACACGAGCCCAGTGTGAGTTTAAGCCACCGGGCCTCCGGGAGTTGAACCGCAGTCGACTCCATGGGAGTCCAGTGACATAGCCATGACGCCAACTGCTAGTTCCTGGCCCAGAGGTTTTTTTCTTTTTTCCCCTAAAGCATGATTTCATTTAACTTTATTTATTTATTTTAATTTGGCCAGAGAGGGAGAGACTAAGAGAGAGAGTGAAAAAGCAAGCTGCCAGGGTTGGGACTCGAACCACACTTGGCCACGTGGGAGCCCAGCCCTTCACAGGGCGCCCAGGGTTTTGACCCTCCCTGCCCGTCTCCTCCTGCAGGGACAAGGCGGGCGGCTATGGCATCCAGGCCCTGGGCGGGATGCTGGTGGAGTACGTGCACGGGGACTTCCTGAACGTGGTGGGCTTCCCGCTGAACCGGTTCTGCCCGGGCCCGGCTGTACTGCCCGCCGCGCCGGGAGGATCTGCACAGGGTCAAGCACGACTCCATCCCCGCCGTGGACACCTTCGAGGTGCCGAGCGACCTGGACGCAGGCTGCGCAGGGCCCGCTCCCACCACTGCGGGCGGCGACGGCGATGCGGAGGCACAAGGCCACTGTCCCTGTCCTTCTGGAGCCGCCTGGGGCCCTGCACACACGGACAGTGACCCAGGGGCTCGGGGGCCACAGGACACAGCCCGTAACGGGGCGGTGGAGACCCTGGCCCCGTTCCCAGCCGGCCTGCTGCAGCTGATGGAAAGTCTCCAGACATCACAGGTACCTCCGTGAGGGAGCGGCCGGGGCTACCTGGGGGATGGCCCCCACTGGGGGGTTCATGCTCCTCCAGCCCTGGATTCGGGGGGGTCTGCGGTCCAGAGCTTCCTCCTGCGGCCCAGGGGAGGCTCCTTCCTCCTCTCCGAGCTCCCGGGGTCCAGCAGAGGCTCCTTCCTCCTCTCCCAGCTCCCAGCTCCCAGGGGAGGCTCCTTCCTCCTCTCCCCGCTGCCGGGCCCC